TATTTTCTAAATATCCCAAAAAAAAAAAGAAAATTTAGATTATTATTATTTTACTAAATATGAAGTACTATGTATGGTTCCTTCTTAGATGAAAGTGAATAAAAAAGAACTAAAATTAAGTGGTGGCCAATGACTACTAGTAGTGGGAGCAGTGGAGATGATGATTGCTGGTAGTGATGGTTGGTGGGGTCGGTAGAAATAGGCGATGGGTGCAGTGGCATTAGCATGAAATTTACAGTGTATTTATAACTTGATCAAATATAAATATTTTTAATAACATCGAGAGAGTGAATTTAAATAATTAAAATTTTTGTTTTGTATTTCTTTTACTTCAAACTAAACATCAATAATTTCAATACTCTTATATTTGAAATATTTTATACTCTTCAAACCAAATAGCTCCTTGGTGTTCTTCAATCATGTCGGAGTAAAATGTTATTTTTCCTTACATAGTTTATGGGAGGGCTCATTGGAAAATAAATCTTGAAATTTACGAATATATAAATAGCAGGATTTTTTTTCGCAGAGACAAATTGTGTTATATGTCCATATTTCTACTGTTTACTAATTATTCGATCACTAAATTCTTGTTTAAAGGTTCGAATCATGTCGACTCCTATCTACCGGTCCGACACGCATGTCGAGACAGGAGGGCGAGGGTCGCTCGCTCACCTTGTCGTAGATGTCGCGCCAGTTGCCCCTCCCACCACGCTCAATAAAGGCGTGCTTAGGTGGTCTACCAGTCTGACACGCATGTCGATACAGGAGGGCGAGGGTCGCTCGCTCACCTTGTCGTAGGTGTCGCGCCAGTTGCCCCTCCCACCACGCTCAATAAAGGTGTGCTTAGGTGTGCGTCGAACCGGTTTCCCTCCTACCACGCTCACTAAAGGCGTGCTTAGGTGGTTTGCCGGTCCGACACGCATGTCGATACAGGAGGGCGAGGGCCGCTCGCTCACCTTGTCGTAGGTGTCGCGCCAATTTTTTTAGAACTTTACAACAACATCAAGCTTTTATATATGAGGTTGGCTTCATTAAAGTTTTCCTCCATTGTGCTATAATAAGAGTCAAATTCTTATTTAAATTTAAATCTAATAAAAAAAAGTCATTTCTACTACTTTCTAACCAAGTTTTTTCGATCTACCTCTATCTTTCTTAATATATGCCAAATCTAATACATCTTCTCACTTAATCGTGTCATTGGAAGTCTATTGTTTTATGTGACCAAACCATCTAAGGCAACTCTCTCTAATCTTATTTGCCGCTTGAGCTACTCCGATTTTTTCACGTACATACTAGTTTCGCATTCCATCTCTAAGAGTAAGCCCGCTCATCAATCCACTTGAGCATCCTCATCTCTGCAATACATAATTTTATGTTTCTCTTATAATTGCTAACATTTTTCATCATAAATGTACTGTAAATCTTATCATGATCTCACATAATTTTTCCTTGAAGTATGAGAGAAACTTTTCTATCACACAACATATTTATGCATTCTTCCACTTCAACCATCCAATTTAAATTATACTAATAATATTCTCTTCTAATTCAACATCGCTTTGTAAAACTATATCCAACATTTTACACAAAAATAAATTAAAGAAAAAAGATTGGAACAAAACTTTATATTGCTTTACAGATAGCACAGCCAAATGCTTTGAAAAATAAATAACAAAATTTACAAAATATAAATGTGAGAAGGTAATTTATTGCTTTAAATATTGCCAAATACGGACATGATAATATTTATAACTTAAAATAAAAACAAAAATAACAATGCTACAAAAATCCATGACATTGGACGACATTTAACATCATTTACTTTATCATATCCTTTTAAGTCATAATTCACTTTCTTCTCTGAAAAATCAAGAAATATTTTTATGTTGTTTTTATTTTTGTCTGGTTTCAGATTATAAAGGAGATGGCTAACATCCCTTCAAGTTCACATAGACCAATATTATCCTCCTTGAGCATTAATTATTTGTTTGGTCCTCTCACTTTGGATCTAGCAAGTTCCACATATGTTATAGTCATTAATATTAAATGAATCTCAAAGCATAGACTAATGCAAAATAAAATTATGTAGATATTAACTATATGTTGATAAGATTAAAACAAGTCAGTATTAAATTATATCTATTGTACAAAAAGTATTCTAAGTTATTATTCCTTATTGCGGGCTAAAAATTTTGCAACGGTAAAAATACTTTGTCTTAGCAATATATGAAATTTGAACACACAAATAGATGATAAAAAGAAAACCAAGATTTTTATGTGGAAAACTTTGAGAAAGGGAAAAACCACGGAGTATTGCCTAGTCTAAAAGGTTCTATTAGTATTTGAATATATTATAAAAATCAATACGTCCCTTATCCCAAGGACTAGGAGAATACAATGTATTGTATAGTTTTGTTAATCTTCCAAAGGGGTCTAGAGATGATTGATGGTTAGAAAGAATTCGACAATGACCAATGAATATACAAAAGTTGAGCAACGGTCGATGGTCAGGAAGAATGTCAATGGTCGGGAAGAACGCCGATGGTCGGGAAGAATGTGGCAATAAAGCTCCCAAGTTTTCTTTTTTTTCTTCCCCTTTTTCTCTCCTCCTCTTATGTGAAGAATGGGGGCCTACTTATAATTTTTTAGGAGTTGCATGGCTTGTAAGTTTGGAGAAGATCAAGTTCAAATTGGAAGTGTCAGGATTGATGATTGATATTTATACCCTCGATCATAAATCGTTGATCGAGCATTTAAGTGTCTTTATGATGTCAGAATTTAATGATCTTAGGCTCGTTGGATTCGTCTCATCTAGCCGCTCGATTCGACTATAAGCATATCATATTTGCTGATCATTTAGTTATCCAATTAATAATTTGAAGCCTCCAAATATATTTTGGACCTTTGATTTGGGCTCTCTAGGATTAGATTGGACTGATTTTGATGTCGTTGAGTTCATCTTGCCGAAATATTCAATTCAACTATAAGTTTGTTGAAATTAGAGCAAGGGTGATTTTTTTTTTTTTAATATTGAGCAAACAAATTCACAATCATATTGCTTTACACTATCATGTATTAATGTCAATACTATTTTTTATATAATTTTTTTGCTGCTAATATTTTTGCATAAAATAAAATAAATTTCTCTTTCAAATAGAACTTCTCAACAAGCAGTTGATCGCCATGCTCTGAAGGAGATTTATATAAAATATAATAATTTCTATTGCATGCTCTTTTGGCATATATCTACATGATGATAATTATTTTATTATTAAGTTAAAAAACATTACAAAACAAAACTAAATACATCATTCCAGCTTCAAACCAATGTTGGCTTAAAAGTGTTTATTTGAAGTGGTCGAAATGTGCTTAATCCACCTATTTGGGTCTTACCTATTTTATTTTTATTTTTGTTTAATTATTATTTTATTAGTGATAATTAATTACATCAGCCTTCCCCTAACATAATTAGCTATTTAATTTCAAGAGTGTGAAATAGATCCTAATTCAATTAAGGGGCTTGAATAGAATAGTGGTCATAAAGCAACTATATAGTTTAATTGGAAGAAAGCATCTCCTTAGCAAAATTGTTAAAAAATGATCAATACCGGTTAGTTTTATGTGGAACTTGATTGTGTTGATCAATTGAGTTGTATTGTTGTCTCGGACCTCAATTCCATCAGTCAAGCTCGTCAGGGGGTTGGAAGGGGTCCTCCTCCAACTTGGATTCAGGTGCTTTGCACCTGAATTTCTTTTTTTTTTTTTTTTTTTTTCTTTCGTACAACCGTGTAGCACTGCGGCATTATATAGTTTGCTTGGAGATAAATAGAGTGAAGCGTTGCGGCGCTCGAAACCTCGGCACTACTAGGGAGAGCTACGGTGCTCCAAACCATTGCGTTGTGGCCCTATCAGACAAACTAGAGGCAGAGAGTGGAGTGATGCGATGCTGCAAGGCAGGTTGGACAATTTTTTTCTCATTTTTCATGAAGGCTTGCATCCCTTTGTGATTATGTAGATGTTTCTCTCCGTCATTTCTTGTAAGAGAAGGGTGTAGAGAGTTAAGAAAAGAGAGAGAGATATGTATAAATTTTCTTTTAATTTCATAGTAAATTCTTGGTGTTGTATGATTATGTGATCTTTTCCCGGTTACATTAAATACTTATGTTATTTCTTTTTGCATTTTTTTTTAATCCTATTCTCAAATCAAATGTAAACCAAGAATAACTAGAAAGAATCAGAACTAGGTAAGCTAATTAAACTTACTAGTTATTCTATATTTAATTAAAAAATTATATATCTAAATTTGAAGAATTTTTTATATTTTAGAGTAAGAAGCTATGAAATTTCAATAAAATTGAGTAAAATTATGTAATTCACTAATTCTTCTATGAAGCATTAATGAGTTCACAAGTAACATAGAAACTTGGCGTGGACTCTGACCAACCTATAAGTTTAGCATCTATGATTAATTAAATAATCTAACGCTGAAATTTATTAATGATCCAATTAAGAGATATACTAATATCAATATTTTTTTATTATTTTTTATATACTAATATCAATAATAAAACTAAAACTTTATGCAAATAATATATACATGAATTTTATACTTCGGCTGTCATAATATATATTAATTTTTATATTTATTTAGATGATATTTTAATTTTGAAATATTATTAAAAACATCAGTAATATTAATTTAGGATATTTTTATTTTATTTATATTATGATGAGAAATCAATTATATTATTATTTATTTGTTTATGAAGTGGTGTTTGATTATGATCCTCAAAGCAATGATACAATGACTAATGGTGATAATGATTTTTAAAATTAGTTTAAACATTAAATTTTTTTTTTACCTTTTTTGAAAAAATAATTTGAGTTATTTTTAAAAATTAAAAATTAAATAATATATTTTAAAAATAAAATTAAAATAAATGATCTAGTTAAAATTTCATACACATTTTTCTGTCATTTAAATTTAGTGATTCCTTCATTTTATTAGGGAGAAGCTGGAAACCATTTGGCCTGAATGTGTAGAAAAAAAAAAAAAAAAAATCCTTCTTGGAAACTCTCTCATGGCCGCTAAATCCCCAAGATCAAGACAAGAAAGGGAACGGCAAAGGAACAAACAAAACAAGCCATGAATCGGTCATTTGGCAATCGACGAGTTCTTCCAAATTGAAGGATTGGAGCCCTGTCTTGACATTTCTTCTTAACCTCTTTGCTTCCCCCGATTCCCCTTTCCAGATTGCCCAGGAGATTTCCAAAAATAGCTGCATCCTCTTTTCCTAAAATCATTTTGAGCGAAACCGAAATCCCTCCTTTTGCCGAAAATCGAAAGAATCTGGATTGTTGGAGAGAAATCCGTCTGTTATTATGGAGAGGATGGAGAAGTGGAGGTTGAGGTTGGATTCCTTTCTGCTGTTGCTGATTCCTTTCTCGTGCTGGAGGCTGTGCGTCTGCGATTCTATCGAGGCCGAAGGTATGGAATCTGAAACTCTCTATCGCGGGCATTTTCGCTTCTTGATTTTATATTAACTGGTTAGGGTTAGGGTTTTTGGCTTGATTTAATTCCTGTTTCTTTCTGAACAGGGAGGGCTCTTTTGAGCTTCAGGGAGGGGGTAGAGGTGGATCCCTATGGTGCTCTTTCTAACTGGGGAAAAAGTGGGGTCGATCACTGCTTCTGGTTTGGAGTAGAATGCTCTGATGACGGGAGAGCAGTTTCTCTGTGAGTAATATCTCTTATCTTAATCATTTCTGATGAAACAAAGTAAAATTTCTTTACATCATAGTTCATTTCCTGCATAAAAATGCAACTTAACTAGATATATGTTGTTTGGGAACTTTAGCTACTAATCAAAAGATCTTGAGTTCGAGTCTTGTGTACGTGATGTGCGTGTGAATTTGACTTACTTGATCTAAATGTCCGGAAAAAAAAAAAATAGTTGAGGCTATGCTTAAGGGAAACTTGAGAGATCTTATACATTTAGATCTCCTTTTACAGAATAGTTTGTTTTGTTTCCTTTTTGCTAATTTGTTTTCATCTTTCTTTTAGGGACTTGAGAGATCTTTTTCTTCAAGGGAAACTTACTTCAGAGCTTGCGAGGCTTATTCACTTGAAGTCACTGTAAGCATATTTAAGTTTGTGATAGAATGTCTTTTTTTAATTGAATGTTACTGTAGTCAAATATATTTTTTTCACAGTTCTTCAATTTATGTTTAGTAATTAACGTTACCCATAAAAAATTAAGAAATATGCAATTTTTTTTTATTATGATTATGTTTTTGAAGATTGGACTAGTTTTTAAGCCTCTCCAATGAATGTCATAGAGGCTTAATCTATTTAAGCATGCATAAAGCTTGGTTTTCAAATAGCTGAGTGTATAGTTGGGTCAACCTGTTAAGAAATTGGGAGGATTCTTGAGCTCTTATTGTGTCTTCGTGCAAGAGGGAGGGAGAGAGAGGGGGAAGACAGATTTTGAGGAGGAAAATCTATACTAAAGCTTTATTCAAAATTTCCCCAAATTATACATCAGCCTATACATTCTATTTATAGAATTTACAAGAGGTGTGATATATTGCGGAACGACTTAAACTAACTCCTGGACCAACACCCAACACAACCACATAAGATTCTATCTTTTCTTTGTTGGTAGAGAGTTTAATACTTCCCCATGGCAAAGACAAATTTTTTGCACTAGCTATTACATTCATCATCTTTGAGTCTTTATGCTTATGTTCTCAATCTGATTTATTTGTGTATTGATTTGGCGCATTCAATCATTCCAGTTGATATGCATAGAGCAAAATGAGTAATAAATAGGAATAGGGAATGTAACAGTTAGGAAGAGATAGATGGTTGGGGCTACTTCAACATTCCTTATCTCTGCAGCTGACCACCAGAACATGGCAACGTGAATTTTAGGTTTGGAAACTAAGGTTTGGTTTTATGTAGGGGTGTCAATATTTGACACGACCCGAAAATGCGACCTAGAAATTTTGGGTTCGTGTTCACCCGAATCTGAATCGGGTCGGGTTCGGGTTAAGGATTTCGACCCATTTTAAAAATTGGGTTTGGTTTGAGTTGACCGGGAAACCCGAGATTGACCCAAAATAACCCGCACTAACCGGACTTGCCCGCGCTGATCAGAGCTGACCAGCATGCCCGCTCGAGTCTCGAAGCCTCGCGTGGTGTCCCAAGGCTAGCATCGCGTCCCGGACCTGCTCGCCGCACTAACCGCTGACTTGCCTGCCCACCATCCCCACGTCCTGCCGTAGGTCGCCAGTCCGCTTCCACCAGCTTCCGCTGCTGCCGGCCCACTGCTGCTGCCAGCGTTACTTTTTTCATCAATATTATCTCAAAAAACCTATCTTATATTTTGCTAATTTATTAGCCATTACTTTTCTTGAATACTAATTAATGTCAGATAACTCTTCCAGTATCTCCAATATCATGTCCTTCTAAACACTTGCTCCTGTATTTGATCTCTTTTAATGCTAATGTTTTTCCATGGTTATCCAGTATTCTGCACAATAATTCATTTTCTGGAAGCATGCCTAGAGAAATCAGTAAATTGCTGAAGCTAGAAGTATTGGACTTGGGACACAATAATCTCAGTGGACCATTTCCGCATTTCCTTCTTGGAATTGTATCGCTAAAACTAGTGTGAGTGCAGAATGTTGCATTTTTAATTGGATCCTAGCCTCTTGCTTTCACTAACAGCATTAATTCCCTTTTCATTTTCTTCCTCTTACAGCGTCCTCACAAATAACCGGTTCGTAAAAGATATCTCACCAAAGCTTTTGGAGTTCAATTTGCTTTCTGAGCTTCATGGAGATGAAGAGATGTCATCTTCAAATAAGGGATCTGTTATCAGGTCATAAATCTGCTGTAATTTTTACCAAAATGAAATCCATATTCCATTTAGACAATAAGAAATGAGCGAATAGTGAGGATGATATTTGATATATTTTTATCTCTTTACCTTTATAGGAATATTGAGAATCCATCCACACGTAGACTTCTGCAACAAATAAGCAAAAACAAAGTAAAACCACAAAAGCATGGAGGGCGTCGCAACAGTAGCATTACATCTGCTCCATCAACTTCTCCGATGACTTCTCCATCACCATCTCCTAAGCCTTCAGAATCAAAATACCAGTCTTCATTGGTATCCCCATCTTCCCATTCCCATTTAGCAGCAGCTCCTTCACCTGGAATTGGGGAGAGTCGACGACCAGTCTATATTACAGTTGGAGCTGGAGCCTTTGCACTTTTTTCTTTATCTTCAATGTACTTCATCTGCTGTCGAACCATCAAGGTTGATAATGCCAGTCCTTGGAAAATTGGCTTAAGTGGGAAATTGCAGAAAGCACTAGTTACTGGTTAGTTTCATACCCGAATGTTTATCATCTGATGCTTATTTGAGTCCTTTCTGCTTATCTGAAAGTTCTCCTGGCAGGTGTACCATCATTGGAGAGGTCCGAGCTTCAAACAGCTTGTGAAGAATTTAGCAATGTTATTGATACTTTATCAGATTGCACAATATACAAAGGAACACTGTCAAGTGGAGTTGAAATAGCAGTGAGCTCCACTATGATCAAGATGGCAAAAGATTGGTCAGATCAATCTGAAGCTCTGTTCAGAAATAAGGTTCTAGTAAATCTATATAAATGATTTTGTGTAGATATATTTCATGCAATTGTGCGCTTTCCAACAACTAGATATTGGTTAATGGTTGCAGATCTCAGTTCTGTCCACAGTAAACCACAAGAACTTTCTGAACCTTATCGGCTTTTGTGTGGAACAAGAACCTTTCACCCGAATGATGGTGTATGAGTATGCTCCAAATGGTACTCTTTTTGAGCACCTTCACAGTAAGTATATCAATCTAATCTTCATTATATGCAGAACAATGGTGATACAGACATATAGGCTTCGTTTGGTACGGTTTTTAAAAAATTATTTTAAGAAGCAGGAAGAAAGCCGTCTCAATTGAACTCTTTGCTTTGTGCACATTAAGGCTTCGTTTGGGACCACTTTCTTACAGCTTCTTAAAGCAATTTTTTAGTACAAAAGTTAAATTTTGTGTATTCGAAAGCTGCTTTAAGAAACAGTAACGAAGCCTAAGTTTTTTATTTGTACCTGGCTAAAGTCAAGCTGGATGATGCGTGCAGTAAAAGAAGCAGAGCCCTTAGATTGGACAACTCGATTACGCATAGCCATGGGAATATCATATTGCCTGGAGCACTTTCTTCGGCTGGACCCTCCTGTCAGTTTTAGAGCTTTGAACTCATCAACCATTTACCTTACGGAAGACTATGCTGCCAAGGTATCGGATCTCTCATTCTGGAATGAAGAAAATGAAGCCACTTCATCCGATCAAAGCTCAGACGACTTGCAGTCGCCATTATCAAATCAGGACATTGTGTATAAGTTTGGAATAATACTCCTGGAACTTATATCTGGAAGATTACCTTTTTCCAAGGATGATGGCCTGCTTGTGCTTTGGGCCTCAAGCCACTTAACAGGGAAGAGACCCCTTCATGGCATACTTGATCAAACCATCGAATCCTTAAGCGAGGAAGATATAAGCCCTCTTTGTCAGGTAATTCAATCCTGTGTGACTCCTCAACCAAGTGGAAGACCAAAAATGGGGGATGTTGTTGCACAGCTGAGAGAGATAACAGGGATTTCTCCAGATGCAGCAAGTCCAAAGCTTTCCCCTCTCTGGTGGGCAGAGCTGGAGATCATTTCTTAAGCGGCTATCGAGGTGTAAATTAGCAATAATCATCCTCTGCTAATTTGTGGAATTTTTTTTTTTGTGTGTGATGGAGTGGATGAATTTGTTCATAGTGAGAAGGCAATGGAATGCTTGTGTTCTTCGAGAGGAGATCTGTCATATTTGTACAATAAAAAGATGAATAAATTTTTTGATTTAGATTGTTGCAATTAAACTGTCATTCCTTTTTTTATTTTTTTGGAGATTTTTAGACTTTCTTTGTCTTGATTTTTGAAGTTGGATGGATCTAGAAACACTAGCTGCAATATGCAAGTTGGATGGTAGGGGGTGTCAATATTTCACCTGACCAGAAAACCCGATCCGAACCTGACCCGAAAATTTTGGGTTTGGGTTAACCCGAACGGGTTAGGGATTTCGACCCGTTTGTAAAATCTGGTCGGGTTCGGGTTGACATGGAAATTCAAAATCAACCCGGTTTGATCCGTTTTTAATTAATTTAGGTGGGTTTTAATGGATTTTTATGAAATAAGTAAATAATATTTCAAAATATTATAAATATTATTGCCCAAATTAAATTAATCTTAATTTATTTTAAATTAATTGAACTAAATCTTACATTAATTTAGGATTTAGATTTAAATAAATTGAATTAAATAAAAAAATTAATAAAATATACTCAAATCGCTTTGGGTTCGGGTTGACCCGGACCTGAAGCGGGTCGGGTTCGGGTTGACCCAGACCCGAAGCGGGTCGGGTTCGGGTTCGGAAAACCGACCCATTTGCAAAAACAGGTCGGGTTCGGGATGGGTTGGATAGTATCAGGTCAATTTCGAGTTAGACCCGAACCCGACCCGTGACCCGGCCCTATTGGATGGTATGAATTATGTGAAATTGTCACACATGGAAAGAAATAAATATGGTGTTATTTAGTTATAATAGTTGTAGATTGTTAGACAATTATAGTCTATTGCTGTTATCATTGTAACTATTCTGCTAATAGTTGTTTTTGTTAATGCAGCTTTATGCCGTTATTGAATGCAATGTTTGTGATGATCAAAATTGAATAAATAAATTCTGACAAGCTTTGGATTTGGATAAATTTTAAAATTTACGTTAGAGATTAATGTAAGATTTAATTCTTATAAATAAGATTAATTTTAGCGTAAATTTAAAATTTTTGAAATTTATCATAACAAAAAACATCTAACAATTCATGCACTTGTTTTATTATTTGTGATTAATAATTTATTAAAAAGAAAAAAGAAAGTTGAAGTAAATTGGGTAATAGAAGGAATCAAATAAGCTTCCTTAATGCAGCTCATCATAATTTATGGGCGTGAGCTTTGTTTAACACCATAAAGACTTACAAATCATATTTTAATATTTTGTATATTCGGGACGAATAAAACTACTAAAATTAAATGATGAACAAAGGCTCTATCATTGAGAGAATTATTATGGGTCGTCCGATGGAACACTCCAAAATTGCTCCAGATCTTCTTCATATTTATGGAGCATGTTACTCTTAAATTTATAAAAAGAATCATACTCTCAAAATGAGAGGGATTTTTTGGAGAAGATTTGGACCTTAGGCTAAAGATTTAACAGAGCTCTAAGGCATAAATCTCAAAACACCACCGTCAGCGAACCCTTACCCCTAGTACGTCGCCACCAGACTTTCACTACAGTCCTTCAAACCTCTGTCAGCCACTGACTACGCTCCTTCCAACCATTGCCGCTCAACTACGGTACTTCAACCTCAGTCACTCGACCACAATCATTCAAATCTTTGTCACCCGCTAATAATAGTTCCTCCGACCTCCGTCGCCCGACAAATATCCTTCTACCTCAGTCGCTTGACATGGTTCTGAGATTTTATTTGCCCGCCGACTACATAAAATACTACGATCGAAATATTATGGCGAAGATGAATTGTCATTTGTAGTTATAATGGCTCCAGCAAAAAAATTATCAAAGTCAAAATATGGGCTATTACAATCTACTTACTTTAAGAAAATATTGTCCCAGACATTTTTCATAAGGATTCGAGCATACAATTAAGATAAACCAAATTAGTACAATCAAAACTCAAATCAAATCAAAATAAACTCAAAACTTATTAAAAATCATACAATCATGCAATGCATTCTATCATAAGTTATTCAGTTATGCATGCAAATTAATGCATCTTAATATACCCAATTTATTTGACTCACAATCAAATCCTACAGCTATGGCAATAATCAATTCTTTCAACATCTATGCTCTGATATCAATTGTAATGCCTAGAAATTACGAAAAAATTCTTGTAAGTAAAATACTACGATCAAAATACTATGGCGAGGATGAATTGCGATTTGGAGTTATAATGACTCCAAACAAAATTGGCAAAGTCAAAATACGGGTATTACACTACGGTCCTTCCGACCATCGTCACCTGACTATAATCCTTTGACCTCACTCGCTCAACCATAGTCCTTCAAACTAGGGGTGTAAGTGAGCCGAGCCGGCTTGAGCTCAACTCGTTTATGGGCTCAAGAGTCAAGTTTATCGAGCTCACGAGTTGAGCTCGAGTTCGAGCTCGTTCATTAAACAAGCTCGAGTTTGAGCTTGACAAGGTTTGGCTCACGAGCTCGCAAAACAGCTTGAAATTATTAAATTTAAATATTTAAAAAAATTAATAATGATGACATATGAATAGCTTAAATTTTTTGCCGGTTGAAATTTAAAAATCCCGCTTGAAATCTTGGAAAACGACCTGAAATTTCAAACGTCTATCTCTCTCTCTCTCTCTCTCTCTCTCTCTCTTCTCTAATTTGGCCTCTCTTATCTATAATAAATGCAAAAACGGCTAACACTCATTTCCTTTTTTTGAAAAAGCTAAAAAAAGGCTCAAATCTCAATACTCTTAAGGCAAATTAAAATTGAGAATTAATTTTTTGGAAGATTGTGCCATGCGTGTTGGAAGGCAAATCGGACCGCGTTTGGGGCTCGAAGAGCGGCTCGAGCTCGAGCTCGGTTACAGTGGAACGAGTAGAGCTTGAGCTCGATTTTTGAGCTCGACTCGAGCTCGAGCTCGGTATTTAACAATTCAGCTTGACTCGACTCGTTTGCACCACTATTTCAAACCTCCTTCATCACTCGACTACAATCCTTTCGACCTCCATCACCTACCAACAAGAATCCCTCTGACCACCGCCACACAATAACAATTCATCCGACCTATGTCATCCGACTACATCCCTTCGGACCTCCATCACCCGCCTACTACGATCCTTCCGACCACCGTTGAAAAAAAAAATGATCCCTCCTCTTGCATCCATCACCAGCCGACAACGATCCCTCCAACTACCATCACTCGACTATGGTCCCTCCCATCTTCTTCACCCACCAACTACGATAATTTTGATCTCCATCAACTGTCGACAATGATCCCTCTTACCTCTGACGCCACAATACGGTCCTTCCGACCATTCGTCGCTCGCCAACTACGGTTCTCCCAATCACCATTGCCCGACTACAGTCCTTCGACCTCAGTCACTCAACCACAATCCTTCAAACCTCTAACACCAATCTACTATGGTCTTTCTGACCTCCTTCACCTACCAACTACTATGGTTATCATGTTGTCTCGGATCTCAAAGCTTGTCGTGTATACTGAGGGGTATGGGGGGTTTACCCTCTGCTTGGGTTTGGGTGCGTACCAGAGCGCCCCAGAGCTAAAAGACAGATAACAGAGCTTCGCAACGTCCCAAACTGGCACTGCAGTGCTGCGAGACGGACTAGATGATTTTCTTTCTCGTTTTCTGAAGGGTTGCGTCCCTGGAGTTATTTTACTTGGGTTTCTCTTGCATTTTGAATTAGGGAAAGTGTGAAATGCATGTGAGAAGATAATGAAGGAAATGGTGAGAGAGAAGAGATATATATACTTATTTCTCCCAATTTTCATAGTGAATTTCTTGGTGTGGCATGGCTTCGTGGTTTTCTCCCTATTTTGGGTATTTCCACGTTAAATCTCGGTGTCCTTTATTTTTCACTGTTTTTACTTGCTTGTTTCGTCATTATGGTGTTTACTCATACACCGATTACCTCGCACAACAAAGGTCCCTTTGACCTCTGTCGCCCGCCAACTACAATCCCTCCAACCACTTTCGCTCGGTTACAGTCCCACTAACCTCAGTCGCTCACCGACTACAATCTCTCTGACCATCATAATTCCATTATGATGGTCCTTTTGACATCTAAAGCTCACAAACTATGGTCCCTCCAACCATTATTGTCGAACTACGATCCCTCTGACCAATATTGCTCAACTATATTACATTTGACCTCTGTCGCCCAACTACGGTCCCTTCTAACTCACTCGTCAAACTAAGGTCCCTCCAACCACCATAGCTTATCTACGATTCTACCGATCAAAAGAATATGCCAACATTCTCATGAGAACAAACTCTTATGTCATGGGATTCTTCCAACTGCAACAATGTAATATGCTCTACATTATGTATATTTACACGTGCCAACGTCTTCCCCAAAGGAAGGGCATTTGTAATCAACGATTAATGCTAGTAGAAACATTTCAACTGGATAAGGCCCCATGGTTTTTCCCTTTTTATGATTTTTCACGTAAAAATTATGGTATCTCTTATGACTATTGCACCTCTCACTCTATTTGTGTATGCATTAGTCTTTGTAAAAAGCTAAGATGTTAAACTCAATGCATCTCTATATCGACATAAATGTTTCCAAAACGCAACAATTTGACGCCGTCTGTGTGAAATGATTCTTAGCTTGGGGGCAACTTTTGTTCCAACTCGAAAGGTCGTTCACTTCAATATTTTGTGCATTGTTGAAGTAAGGTAGTACCTTTAACATAACATATTATCAAGTCCAAAAGAAGTACTTTAATATTGAGGGCAATCTGACATTCTCACAACAACAACAAACATGCATTATTTTATCTCCCATCAATTCTCAGTCATCGCTGCATCAATTTTGTGATAAGTAGATCTAAACTAGGGAGGCTACCTTGGCTACAACCTCAAATATTGTTGTGATCAAACAAGTCCTTCCAATATTTTGTGTAAAAAATTATCTTGTTTACGATCATCTTTCATAAAGCTTTTGACAAATACAAGAAGGCTTTAAGTAAATCTCAAATTCTATACAGTTCCCGATTAGACATTTAATTTTCGGGCAAGGTCACAATCTCGACCTCAAAAAGACAGTAACGATTTAGAAAGGAAATAATGATTTAAACTAGGGAGGCTACCTTGGCTACATCCTCAAATACAAGAAGGCAGTAACAAATATAAGAATCCCCTCTAATATCTCCTCCTCTAGACCTCTTACTCAATCTACATCACTTTGCAGTGATTAAGAGAGAACAACAAATCTGATTTCTTATAGCTTGCAAATCATACAAACTAGACCAGTTACCAAGCCTTCAGAAAAGGAGGGATTGCAAAAAAAAAAAAAAAAACTAAACTTACTGAATGATGAATAAGCTAACACTATCATTGCCAGCCTCCAAATTCTGGATGAGAAAAATGGAGTGTTGCGTTATGTAGTCAACAACCAACATAAAACTTGTCGAATAATTATGACATGAATACTTTACCCATAATGGGACAAAGGCTTGATGTTGTTGTTATTGTAGAAGGATGAAGAGCTATTGTCGCACCTGTGGGTGAAAGAAATATATATCAATCAAACAATCTTCTGAACCTCCACATAGTTCTCCCGGAACACTAGAAATCCTAGAGCATGGATGTTAAGCTATGCAACTCTCTGTAGTAGGAAACATTCATGATTCATATCGCTAGAAGTCTAGTGATCTTCCAAACAAGTCATTAATTTCATTCATGGCTTCCTTAGTGAAAAGAGTTGGCTCAAACAAATTGACTTCTACATTAGAACTGTGAGAAATGCATGGTGGAGCTTGACCATTCAAATCCTTCTCTATGTCGTCATCAGCTAAAATAAAAAATGCATCCTTGCTGCTATCTGACTTCCTGCTAAACATTTTTTCTTGCTTCTTTGGCTTTCCAGCCTTGAAAAAATTCAGTGGCTTTCCGAACATGCCGTTTATATCATCTATGGCTTGCTTGAGGTTGACCGTTGGATCCACTAAACCATGATGACATGCATTTTCAACCTTTGGCTCATCAAAAACTTTTGACCCAACAATTTTTCGAATAACAGTATCCTCTTTCAGCCTCCGAAAGACCGTGTCCTCTTTCAATCTGATGTCAAAACTATTTAATCTGGTTTCAGTGCTAGTTTGAGAAGTGGGCCAAGCATGTTGACATGTTATTTCCATTGGTTCTTCCATCTCCGAGCAATATTCATGAGCATTGTCATCACTATCCTCGTCATCCTCATCATCAGCAAGTATCTTGAAAGAACCAACAAATGGCGTCTGTAACTCAGTGTTGCCATTTCTCTTTTGGGAATCTGAATTCACAGGCTTAACAGAAACAGATCTGGTTTTATAAATAATGTTCTGATTAACATCTCCTGATTCTTCCCTTTCTTCATCAACAAACACCTCAATGGTATTTCCACGCTGATTTGGCTTTTGGTTAACCTGATTTGAATTCCTGGAGATTGTTTCTAGCTGCAGGGGCTCCTTAAACATACCATTAATAACATTCATGGCCTCCTTCGTGTTTATGACAGGATCTGATAGACCGTGAAGACGAGCATCACCGACTTGAGACAACCCCACATCATCACTGTGGAATGGAGCTGATTTATCTAGATCATTGATGGGAATTGATTGAGATCGAGCAAGACTTTTACAACCTGTACAACCAGAATTTTCTTCCGCAGACTCAGTTTGATAAAAGCTTTCTGCACTGGAAGAGACCAATCCATTCTGTTTAGTGGATAAATTGCCCGGAAAAAATGATTGGATTATTGAATTTTCATGTTCAGCTTGCTTTTGGTAATTTTTAAGATCAATAGAGGTTGAGGTTTTTTGAGAATGACCTGCACATAAAACAATTGCAGTCAATTAATTCTTCAGTTTTGCAAACCCAGACGTCTTGCAGTCTCTGAATCAGAAAGAAAGAAAAAATATAAATTATAGTGCACTAAAGTTGCTATGAATGTAGAAAAACTAGAGTTTGTAATTGGCTAAACTGGTGAAGATTACACAATCCTCCTAATTTTGATAGTATTGGAATACGGTTTTGTTGAAAAAGTTATACCACTAGTACTCGTTTCACCAATGTTGGCCGCTTCTTCCTAAAAATAAATGCAGAGTAAGCAGTTCTGGCAAACCAAGTAAAATAAGAAGAATAAGCCCATCAGAAGAACAAATACCAGTCTAGCTCTTCGATGTTTGAGCAGCTTCATCCGGTGAAGAAACTGATCATATGATTTCTGCAATTCTCCCACTGGTTCTGCAAGCCTATATGGAAGTTCATCAAGAAAACCTTCATATAAATCGAACAATCATGCAAATAATTCAACTAAAAGCATAGAATTTATAGGTCTGATTATCCAGAAAAGTATATTGCTTAGAGGTAAATGGTAAAGAGTTCAAAAATTGTGAATAAAAATAGGGCATTATATTTCTGAGATATGCTTTGATTAGTATAACTGAATATCCCCCAGAATATCAATTTTGGGATGCTATGGCTGTTGCCCGAAGAAGATGATATTCATGGAATTACAAAAATGTCTTCATGCTCTAGGTAAACTTCAGATATGTTATATTACCCAATTAAGTTCCTCATTTTAAGGAAATCTAGTAAGGGCATCTCCAACCGTAAATCTCATTTTTCACTCCAAAATGCTATGAAACTAAAAAATGTCGTGATTCATCTCCAATCGAACTCCATTTTGCTCACTTTTGCAAAGGTAACGGTCTTTCTCTTTTTTCGCATATTTCTTCAGCAAGTTTGGTAGAGATAGAAAAATAGTAAAGATGAACGGTGTAATGCTACTATTGGCGTCCCACTGTTCACCCGCAACCAAATAGCGGAAGTTTTACCGTTCGACTGGAGCTCGCGAGTGATGTCATTCAAGCGTTTGGAGTTCGGTTGGAGATGCCCTAATCACGTCCATTCCATTTTTCAGTCATAAGAACAAATGTAAAATTACCTTTAGATTCTTTCTAATCGACCAATTAGATCCCTTACAATTCAAAGTTCAACAATTAGATTCACACCCCTCCACTCTCTAAGCTCTCTCAAGTTTCATTCTCTCTCTAGGCCCAGAGCAATCCACGGTTGGGTTACAATAATTCTTGTCTCAAACCAACATGCAACACCAACACAAAGGTCAAGGATAGTATCATAAACTAAGACACTGCATCAACATTTGGGTTCATCAGTATGGACAACTCTCAAAGCAAGTGCAAGGCTGCTCTTTGTTTCCTTGAAAATCAATGAAGAATAATTAAGAATCTTAATAATTTAAAGTTTTTTAAAATAGCTAGATCAACCACATCAACCAAAAAAGTAAAGATCTTCCAACAAATTTTGATTTCAAAACCACTTCACCTGTCTTATTTGGCTTTGCCGAATTTAATTGTTTATGGAAGCTTTAAATTTTGTAATACATTGGTTTTTTTGCCCTTTGCGTAAAAAAAAATCAATTAAAGTTTCAAATCACTCAATCACCTTCCCTTTTCCGTTTCCCTCCAAGTTTCAAACCAAGCAATTATAACTTTCCTTATTGGCAATGTTTTAAATTAGGAAGGTTTTCAAAATTCAAATTTTAATCATGGCTAGCCCCTCCCATCTTGCATCAAACTAAATGGTATTTTCATAAATAAAAATAAAGCTTAGCTAAAAAGAGAGATGATGTTATCAATGTGAATGTGCACACACACTTACGCACCGCATACATGAACGCATTATGTTCAATCTAGTTTGAAAACTAATAAAAAAGGCATGTTCAGAAGAAAATCACTTTATCAATATACACATGTATGCATATGCACCCACAACTGCACCCCTACAAACACATGCACACAACCATGTGTGCTTGTACCCAAGATAAACGCATTCGAGCATTGAAACTGCTTGTAAAATTAGCAAGTTCTGCCTTTTAAAGTGCATATTGCATAAAATAATGAATAGCTAAACTTAATTTGATCAAATACGTTAAAGAATGGCCATGTAATAAAATATTAAAAATGTTTGCACTTTAAGAGACATATTTATAGCTATACAGATCATAACACAACGAATATGTTGCGACTTCCATGTACTGATTAAACCCTGAAAGTGTCAACAGTATGTGAATTGTTGAAAACGTTCAAACAGGTCTGTTTAATGGTTAATATTCATGCTGAACCTCCCTTCTCAAACACAATGAAGACTGCTTGTTGGGACAACACAACTACCATCAGCTAACTGTTGCACTCGAGAAGCCAATATGGGATATAAATATAAGCCTTTTCATTTACCTTAGAAGAAAGCAAATGTAGTTCCTCCTTCAATTTGCTTTAAAGAACTTGAACTTAAAACAATGGAACTAGCATGTCACATTGGAGTTAAGGCAACCAGACTCCAAGAACTATTTTTCACCCCTCAAAATACATATCTAGAGCAATTAATAAACAAATCTACCATATAAAACTAATGGCAGAGCAGTGCAAGGACCCAAACCTACTGGTTCTATAGAAGGATGAAATAGAAATTACAAGTCATCCAGATATTTTTTATTAAGAAAAAATGTTTCCCAAACCCATCTTGATTACATTCATAAACCCTAAAGATCATTTAGTTTGTTTTTATATTATAATTGTAGTAAATTATGTCACAACATATCACAAATAAAAAAAAAATAGTGTTGGTCGCAAGAAAAGTGTGGGACAGCAGTCAGAATTAAGGGGTCCAGCTTACAAACAGAAGAAAATTGGATTAAACAACAAAGAACAAGTACAATTATTTGAATACAGTGGATCGACCATGATAAGATACCTTCAAGACAATCAAAAGTGCTTTGGTTTAACATGAATCAAATCTCAAGGCTTCTTAAAAATCTTTAGATGCAATAACAGTACTGCAGATAACCTCTGTCTTCTCACATATCAGAAAGCATCTTTCAACCTGTAGCTTACGCTGATCAATGAGACATATTAAAATTGCATCTTACCTTTGAACACCCAACTGATACATCTTCTCCGAATCCTCAAATCTCTTCTTCTTCTCATAGTATAGAGCATAGGCGGTGTAGAACTTAGTCCGCTTCACACCAATTTGACTCTTCTCCATCTTTCTCAATAAGACCCTTGCATCTTCCACATAATCCATCTAAAATGCAGAAATTGATAATGCATCAATTTCATAAAAATATAGATATCATGCATTCAAAAAAGAAAACAAAAACTTGGCATTTGGAAAAAATCCATAAAGCTAAAAAGGACCATTTTATACGCAATTCCACCTAGGCAGTGTTCAGTTGATCCCATTGACCAAACTGGAACGGCTTTGCATGAAATTCGTGAAAGTCTCCAAAGATTATATCAAATCGTCCAAGGCCACTCAACTAAGACTATTCAATCAAAGGCAAGGCAAAGTCGCAAAAGTTACACTCCTTGGCATCATAGCAACTCGTCAAAACTCAACAAGCACAATTGAATTTGTCCGATGATTTCAAATGAATACCTCCCTCACTTAAAAACCAATATGTATTTTCTATGTAATTGGTGGGTACAAATTAGCTAAGTATATTTTACAAGAAATGCTTGATAAACTTTGCTATGCAATATTACTTATATTGCTTCAATGTAGCAATTTTTATAGCGTTGAGTCTCAAGCCAAGCCTATAAATAGGAGGTCAAACTATAAGCCAGATACAATGAATCAATGGCCTAAGTCTAGCACTTTCAAGTAATCTAATGAAATTTGTGAGCTTCTCACTCTAAATTCTCTTTCTCTTTCATGTTTCTCTTGTTTTCCAAGTCATTTTTGTAAAATAAAGTTTTGATATTGCCCATCGAACAATTTGAATAAAATAGTATCGTGCACTAAGCAGATCTCCGTAGAAACTCAGAAGCACAAGAGCTACAACACAAAAGTGAAAAATTAAAAATAAATAAATAAAAATTCAAAAACATCTAAAATTCACTGAAATGGTATCAGGCAAGTGCACAATAATGCCAATCAAAACAAATTCGCAGGGATTTAAAAAAAAAAAAAAAGCAGAAGAGGAGATAAAATTTGCGGCAAAATATCTCCATAGTGGCATTACCAATTGGATCCATACAGCTACATATCTGGAATCATTTCGGTACCGGCGATCAGATTCGAAGGTCTGTGCGCACTTCTGAAGGAATCGAGGAAGTTTCTCGCTAAGAACATGAGGAGGTAGAGATTGGTAAATTTTCCGAATGCCTCTAAGGAACAAAAGGAACAAACAATGTTAGAATCGAGTCAAATGATTGAACATACGGAATGGCAGGGAAAGAAAAGTGGAAGTAGGGTTTTGTCTAATCTCGATATAGTTTTAAGCCAACGCTTCTACTTACCGAACCCATGGACGGAGGGGGTCATCGCCAGTGTAGCTTTTGATCTCGGAGATCACCGACGAGAAGAGATCCTTTTGGGAGCTGCTCGTCATGATCGCCCAAGAGCACGCGCAGAGAGGAGGCAGAGAAGTGTTAAGCTTGAAGCAATGATTTAAATTCAAATAGGGAACCGCTCCATTAGTTTATAATCTCTAACACTTCTCCGGTAGTAAGCACTGCTCATTTACGCCCACAAACCTAACTCGATTAAAACAAGCCAATTTGTTCCCATTTAGACATAGAAATAATTTAAGAATTTTCTTTTACTTCGCATGTATTTACACAAATGAAAAATGATACCTAAATATTCATATTTATAAGAATATTTTTAAGGAATTATTTGTAGATTATCATTTAATTTTAAAGAGCACAACTTAATTATCAACTTTCATTATTATTAATGTTGAGTGCAAGAAAATTTGAGTCGGTAGAGTGTATGCTTCACGTTTTAATTGTGTACAAAGATTTAGCACGAACGTATAATTATCGTAACACCTGAGAACTTTTTATGTGGAAAATTCGAAAAGGGAAAAAATCACAGGTCCTAACCCAGTTGCAAAATCCACTATATAATAAGTGATACGAAGATCCTCCCTTCTTCACTGTTGAAAAAGAGGAATAATACAAATATCGAAAATTTATATCCGACAATAGAGCTTAATCTTTCAAGGAAAATTTTTAAAAAGTAAGTGTTCATAGGCGGACAAATGTACCCAACAGCAGGGTCAAATCGTGATAGTATTCTGAATATGATGATGGTTGTCAGTAGTAGTAACTGGTGGTTATTGGTGGCAATACGTGGTGGTTGTCCCCACAGCATGGTTCGAAAATTCTAGAGAGCTTTTCCTTCTTATATCCTTTATTCACTCTTTTCCCCCCTTTCATGTGAAAAAGATGGCCTATTTATACGTTCATGGGAGTGACATACTCTGTAAATATAGAAAGAATTTAGGGTAAATTACGAGTGCAAAATCCAACGGTCTATATTGATTTCTTTGATCATATAGTTTTCATTAAGCATTTAAGTGTCTTAATGATGTAAGAATTAAGTGATATTCAACTCATTGGATTCATCTCATCGAGCAGCTCGATTTGTCTATAAGCATGTCATACTTGGATATTAATTTGTCATCCAATTAATATTTTTAAGCTTTGAAATAAGCTTTAATTAGTCCTTTGATTTGAGCCTATTTAAACTCAAATTAGACCGATTTTGATGTCATCAAGTTCATCTTGTTAAAACATTCAGGTTGACTATATGTTTGTTGAGATTGATATTCGCATGGTTGTAAATTAAATTTTAACAATTTCCAATTCAAATATGCCTCTAGATTCGTGCTAGATAAATATGAATTTTGGTGACATATCAATTAACTTACATTATTATTATATGATAGAAAATTTGTGAAAATATAATTGAATTTATATCTTAATATGCATCAACACCCAACACAAACACATCAAATGAGAGGATTAAAAACACTAGCTAGAAGCATAGAATTTGTCTTAGCAAAGGATGTTTGAAAAAAGTTTTCTTACTGCTTTCTAAAATTATTTAATAAAAAGCTATTTTAGAAAGTAGTAAGAAAGTTGTCTATAAAGAAGCCTAAGAGGAGTCAACTCAGGCTTCGTTTGGGACTGCTTTTTTACTGCTTTCTAAAACGGAGTTTTAGTACAATTTTTTTTTATTTTTTAACTAAAACTCCGTTTTAGAAAATAATAAAAAAGCCGTCCCAAACGAAGCCTCAATATGTTTGAAAAAACATGGTGGTGAAGTAATTCAATATAAATGATGCATCTCCCATGGAAGATATTGCTCATGTATGTGCCTCTAAAAGAAAACAACTTTGACAAGAAAGTGGAGAAGATCACAAAGCTGGCCCAAGCACTCATAAAGACGTCCACAATGATTATGGGAAAATAATATATAGGGCTTTAGCTTTTGGAGAATAATATATAGTTGATCGATCCCAAGCAACTTAGGGGAATTCCTCCACATTATAAAGATGGGTATAGAGCTAAGGTTTATAATAGCAACAAGATTGGCTCACCTATAGTCTTGGGTACTAACTATTAACAACATAAAGGTGATAATCCACAAGCCTTCATGATGTCAGACTTGAACTTACGACATTAATTAATGAGTTGGTTGATTATTGGGACCTTGGTCGTTTTCCTAAGGAGGAACATTGTGTAGTTTTGTCCTCCCCAAGCCACCAAGGTCATGTTATGTAATGATTCAAATTTTCGAAAAATAATTAAATATTAAAAATTTTGAATTCCTGTTTAATTAAATTGCAGTGCAACGGAAAGAAAATGAAAAGCTGATATTTAGTTGCTGGATCGCTTTGTCGCTTTCATTAAAATTGTTCATATAATTGTATGTGATTCTAATTTTATTTATGTTTTTAAAAATATTAATTTTAACTATTTGATTATCTCCGGAGCTGATTTTATTATATTTTGTTGGATTCATTAAAATTTTGTCACACAACCTTTTGTATTTTATCGTACTGATTATTCTGGATATTTTCAGTGTAATATTTATTAAATTTTACTAGGTAAAATGAAAGTTATTTTATTTTGTATTGTCAATAAATGTGAATATGTTATTGAGTAATGTTGGTTGCAATTATTGTTATAATACTATGATAATACGCGTACTATATGTGAAGACAATTAAAAGCTAGTTTCATTGATATTGGCTGGAGACTAACTAACCCATACAGGATGATGGGCCGATAAAAATTCGTTTAAATATTATATTGTTATTTTGTGCTATATTCTATTGATTCACGTGATACTAATTTAGTATTATAAGAAGATGATTTCTAAGTTGATTGACAAAGAGTGACGACTCTATTTATTAAACAGGATATTGATACTGATTATTATTTACTGGAAATACATTATTTAAATCGGGACTTCTTACTTGTTTAGTATGACTATTGAAATGAATATGTTTTGTATTCATTGTTATTATTATTGTATGACATGTTTACTAATTTACTGTCATTGTATGAATTTACTATCACTACATTACTTTATTATTACAGCCACCAATTTTACAAACAATATTGTATTGATATTATTATTGATATGAACATTGATAATGTTTGATACTACTATTAATTCACTATATTGATTACTTATATTGATTCAATGTGTTGATACCAAACGTATAATATATTGTGTGATTAAGATGATGATTTAATGTTGATATAGAATAACTGAATAGCATTATACATTATTATAGGATTTTACTGCATTGATATGATTTTGATAGTCTTTACTGATGCTTTGATTTTACCATTTTATACAATTTTTTTACTGATTGAAAGTACTGATACAACGACTGCTTTACTAATTTGACTCTCATACTGGTTTACTTGTTTCTCCACTGTACTGGTTTACTAGCTTTAATTATATTATATTATTTTATTATTTATAGATTATATTTTTACTTTTAATGTATGTGCATTTTACTATTTTCGCATCAATTTATGTTTATATGATTGTTACTGTTATGAATTGATTAAAAATATGCATATTATTTATTTACTTTACTTTGAGTCAGTTGTAGGATTGGATGATTTATTGGCCTTTTTAGCTCATTATATATAGTTAAAATAAGTTCATATCATGTCAAAGAATCAAGTGCTTGAGATTAATTAGATCAAAATTTTCCAGGTTTACTGTTAATTTATTTCTTTCTATATTTTAGCTATTGTTTTGTTTATTATCTATCAATCATTAACAGTTGATACTCATTTATAATCAAATAATCTCCAAAAGAGAGCTATAAATTTTTTATTTTGTATTATAAAAAAATTGATTCCTAAGAGAGGTTTTAGGAGTTCTCGGGGGAGGAGGGGGTGGGAATGATGATTTTAATTATGAGAGAATTGAAGATTACTGCTAACTATGAGAGATATGCTTGCATGCTCAGTGTATATTAAAAACATATGTTTATTTATTCAAGAAGCATTGCCTTTTGGGTGTAAAAATTTTATATGAATCTTGGTGGTCTCTTTTCATCAAGAAGCATTGGGTGTAAGATAGGGATAGAACTTCTACAACATTAGGCACTACAGAAAAAATGTCATTTATGATCGGAAGTTTTCCACTAAAAATTTCAACGGATTTTTTGACAAATTTTTGGTGAATTCTCGTCAAAATATTTCCAACATATTGCCGGCAAATTTCTAATAGATTTTCGATGAAATGTTTCTAACAAAGAAGACCGTTGGATTTCTGATGAATTTCCAGTGGATTTTAAAATTTTCTACCTAATAGTTTTAAAATAAATATTTTAAAATTAAATTAAGTAATTTAATAATTTATTGTTAAATTTGATTAAATAAATTAAATTAACTAAATTAAATATTATTAAATGGAAATAAATAAATAATTGTAATAATTATTGTTAAACTACACAAACTAATTTAATATTTAACAAAAAAATAGATTCTATAAATAAAATAAGAGTAAATATTTATACACTTTCATACCCTCGAAGGGCACGTTAGGCTAGCGCGGACAGTGTGATGGGGTGTGGACTGCGAGCGGATGTGGTAGACTCGTGTGGACGGGGCAGTGCAGTGCGGACTGCGGGTGGACTCGAGCAGTGGATCGCACTGCGGTGTCGGTGCGTGATGCAAAGTTCGGACACGAGGCAGGATCGTGCTGGCTGCAGTCGTGTTTCTAGGTCAACCTTCGATTTCAGGTTTTTTGGTCAACCCAAATCAATTCCAATTTTATAAACTGGTCAAAAAATAAAGCTCGAACCCGACTTATTTGGCAATCAGGTTAGTCAAGTATTTGCACCCCTAAGGACGGGCAGCGTACGGGAAGGCAGACTGAACAAGGAAAATGAATTTTGCTGGATTTGTCTGCTCAGGCTTCAGTGTATATTTAAAGCATATGTCTCGTCTTGGTTAGATTTATTCATGTTAACAATGGCTGCTCTCCTAGAAGATTATAGCTCTGAGGCTGCCATCACGCCCACCAGGTAAGGATCTTCGGTCATAATCACACCCAAGCCATTGCACCGCAGCTCCCAGGTTAAAATAGAAAGCATGCCCATTGTCTCCTCTCAATTTATTATGTGATTTTTAAAAATATGAATATTGATTGGAATTAGATGGGTGTCTTTAGATTTGCAAGTACGACGCAATTTAATTACATAGGACTAAGGAGTACGTACTTGAAATTGATTAAGGTTCGAAACGCCTTTTTTATTTATTACATTAAAAATTTGCTTTAAGAAACAATAAGAAAGCTATCTCAATCATAGTCTAAGGTTTCATTTGGGGCTGCTTTCTTTCTGCTTCTTAAAGTAGCTTATTAGTACAAAAATTAAAGTAGCTACTTTAAGAAGCAATAAGAAAGCCATCCCAAACGAAGTCTAAGCCTTTGTTTGTGACGGCTTTCTTATTACTTCTTAAAGCAAATTTTTAGTTAAAAAATTTTTAATTTTTGTACTAAAAAGTTGTTTTAAGCAGTAGTAAGAAAGCCGTCCCAAACAAAACCTAAGTTATTGATTGTGATGAATGCGCAATTGAAATTGATAGTAAATTCTTAAATTTATTATTAAGTGGGTGATTGAAATCAATATATATAGCATTCATTATATTTTTAATATAAATAATAAATTAGTAACATGAGTTTGATATAAATTGCATTATTACTTTATTAGCTGCTATTGTTTTATATATATATCTGCTATTGTTATAATAGTTTTGCAATGAGGAGGACATTTAGATCTATATATTAAGTTAAACTCACACGTACATTACATGCACAAGACTCAAATCTTGGACCCAACATACAATACTAATGTGAGTTGCGTGTAGTTTTGCAATGAGAAATGTCATTTATTGATTGTGTAGGAAAGCAAATGAGTATCTCATAATTGAGAAATAAGTATTGGACTTAACTCTCAATAAATTGTTATACAATATTATAAAAAAATGTAAATATATTAAAAAGCTAAATTATCTATTGTCCATTATATTTTTTTATTTAATATTAATTTATTTACATAATAAGATTGCTTAACATTAAAATAGATGTTGGTTCTTGCGGTGGTGGAAGTTTTAGCCCTTATTAATTCTATAGATTAAACTTTCATTCGAAAGAACTTAGATTTTAAAAAATTAGTTTCTAAAGCAATCACAAGTCAAGAGTTGAATCCACTACTATCGAGTGGGGGCTGTTCATACGTCCATTCCAGGTGATCTTTTTAGTTTTCACTTTTTAGAATATTAACTTTTTTATGTGGACTAGGTAGGTCTTCCCATTTAGTATAGGGGCAACATCATTGGGTCACATGACTAGATGAGTAAGGCCTACTTTGGGATGACTTTCGTACTGCTTCTTAATTGTTGGCCCATGTAAATTAAAGTTGATTGCATGCTAGATCGATCAGGATTTTATCTGGCCTATAGACAGTGCTTTCTCATTAAAAAAAATAAAATATTTAAAAACCAGTAAGAAAATCAACCCAAACAAAACCCAAGGATTTTTTTTTTTTTTTTTTTAAGTTAAAACCCGCAGTAGGGGCCTACGCGTTAAATTCAAAAAACGGTTATAAGGTCCTTAAAAGGAACCTCCAGCTCGCTAATGCTCCATAGAGCTACAGTCAAAAAATAAACAAAATTTCCTAAGAGCCTGAAGTTCCTTAATCTACGATTACAAGAAAAACGAAAGAAGAACCTATGGCTGTTAGACGACAGCACCCAAAAGAGGAAGAGCATATTAATCCTGTTCAGCTCCATCTTCCTGCAAAAATACAGATAGCCAAAAATAGAGAAGTACAAAGCAAAGGCTTTATTTGAAGAGCTCTTTGACTATTCTCATAGGTAAAAATAATTAGCTGATAAAAAATAATATAGGTTTAATAGATAATTTTTTCATCACTTTTTTTTATTTAATTTTTATCATTAAAGAACTGTTTTGAAGAAGCATTTTTAAAACTTTAACAGTAAAAGGAGCTCCTAAAAATATTGGCCAGTGTAAATTGATGTGAGTTGCATGTTAGGTCGACTGGAATTTTCACCGGCCTAAAAACAGTGATTCCTCATCACACAAAAATAACAAAAATTTAAATTTTTATATTAAAAATTATTTTAAAAATCAGAAAAAAAATCATCACAAACAAAACCCAAGGTTTTATTTGAAAGAGCTCTTTGACTATTTTCTTAGGAAAAAATAATTAGCTGATAAAAAATAATATAGGTTTAATAGATAATTTTTTCTTCACTTTTTTTTTTTTTAATTCTTATCATTAAAGAACTGTTTTGAAGAAGCATTTTTAAAACTTTAACAGTAAAAGGAGAAAAATAGATAAACCTGCCGAACATGTCACCCAATTACTGGATGCATTGTATATTCTTATATTTATTTTGTTAGATTATTCTTAAAAATTGGACCTCCTTTCGCCCAGAAAATTTTTTTGTTATACAATAACAAGGGATGGTAGCGTTGAACCCACCGATACTGTTTGACTCTACAGTCACCGCAGTTGTTCTATCTTGAAATCAATGGAGACATCTTTAGTTGGGGCTATTTAAAATATAATCACGATTATAATCACTATAATTAATATATAAATAACAGTCATTAAAATCGCTTCTACACTTCAATTCCCAAACAGTTTAAAAACTGCTGGAAAAGCCGTCAAAGTGAAAGAAATAGCCATGCTTAGCTGTGACTTTCTTCTAACTCTCGGGAGACTGTTCAGCATGGATTTATGTTTAGTTTGAAACAGCTTTTTTTATTGATTCTTAAAGCATTTTTCTAGTAGTAAAATTTTAATAAACCGTCTCAAACGAAGCCTTAACCTCTAGAAATGTAAGTCAATTTAAAAACTTCTGCGAAAGCCTATTTACTTTGCATTGCTGAGAGTTTAACATATAGAACCACAACAAACTATACAAATTAACAGTACTATACATAACCTCAGTAATAATAGAAGACGTCGGAGAATTTCAGTGTACTGTGACTCTTTGAATTGAATGTTTGTTGAACGTCTAAGCTGCCAGTTTCAGAGATTTTAGAGGTGTTCTAGTTTTGCTGTATATATCATACAGTAGCTGTTATTCAGCCTGTTCTAGAACTGCAAAACTATTTGGCAGGTTATAAATAAAATATCTTCCACTTGATCGCCCTTTATATGCTTTAAACATTAGATCCACATCATGGTTTTTTTTCCTTAGTAACAGAAACTTTCTTATGGTAGCAGTTACATTTCCTAATATAAATCTCATAATCACAGAAACAGAACAAATTAAATTGGAATATGATAAGAAACCTTATTATGTTGAAAAGCAGTAGAAGAATTTTTTGAGACAGTAATTATCAGCACAATAAGTTTTTTTTTTTTTTTTTTTTTTTTTTTTTTTTTTTTTTTTTTTTTTTTGAGAAAGAAGCAAAACATTTCAGTAAAATTCCAAGTTTTTATTTTTTTTTTTCAATTTACCAAAGCTGAGCAGCAACAAGGGTAGTCTTTTTTCAAGAAATAAAATCTATTTTTTAGAAAAAAAGATTATACATAAAGACTAGAAAGAAGACTTTATATCATTTTTTTAAAATTCTTTCCAGGAAATTACTTCATAAACTTGCAAAACATATATAAGTTAATTCCCCTCCTCAATACAAAAAAAAATGATAATTAAATTGGAATATGATAATAAACCCTATTATGTTGAAAAGCAGTAGAAGAATTTTTTGAGATAGTAATTATCAGCACAATATTTTTTTTTTGAGAAAGCAGCAAAATATTTCAGTAAAATTCCAAGTTTTTTTTTTCAATTTACCAAAGCTGAGCTGCAACAAGGGTAGTCATTTTTCAAGAAATAAAATCTATTTTAAGGAAAAATTATAGCATAAAGACTAGAAAGAAGGTTTTATGTCATTTTTTTTTTTCAAAATCTTTCAAAGAAATTACTTCATAAACTTGCAAAACATATATAAGTTAATTCCCCTCCTCAATACAAAAAAAAAAAAAAAAAAAACTGATTATGGAAGACCAGTAGTCAGTAGAAGAAGGGGAAAAAGACTGATTAAAAAGTGTGCTATTGTTCCCAAGTTTCCCCATATGTCCCTCCTAACTCCTAAACCCTACCATAGAAGAAAATAAGAAAACAGAAGCATATATAGAAATCATAACTATATATATGAGAATATATACCTTACATAACATACATATAGCCCTACATATATAGAAAGAAAGCAAGCTACAGACACATTTATATATAGAGATAGAGACCTAATAGTTGAAACCATAATGATCAGTAGCCATCTGTTGTTCACCTTGGAAACTACCATTCACAAAATTTGGAACAGCAGGCATTACTGAATCCACCATGGAATCATTTAAAATCACCTGAGGAAAAGAAGGAGATGCAGTCATAGCATTGGAGTTAGAAGTCAAAGCCAAAGGAGAAGACTCCTCATGACCATGAAGCATCATAGTTGCTTGATGAAGCCATATCTGAGCCTTAAGGAACTTAACATAGTGGATAGCTTCCTCAAGCATGGAGACTGTATCCATCTTGCTCCCTCCTGGAACCAAGCTCTTAAGAATCCGGAACCGGTCGCTTATCCGATGACGCCGTTCTCTCGCCGCCACGCTCTGCGGGTCTGTCGATAGCTTCGTTCCACCGCCGCTCCCACCTCCACGCTTCGGAGCTGGAACGGCGATTGCCTTCTTTCTCTCCTTGTGGAGGAGATGGTGGTTTTGAAGTGGTGGTGGGGAGGAAGAGGAGGAAGAAGGGGCTTGCTGATTGTAATAGTTGAAGAAGCTCTCCATGAGTGATAACTAGGTGGGGGTTAGTGTTTCTTAGGTTTTGGCTTGTTTTTGAGGCTTTCTCTAGCTTATCACAGCGGAGATATTTATATAAATAGACATGAGAAAGAGAAAGAGAGAGAGAGGAGCATTGAAGAAGAGATTAGTCAAGTGAGTCAGGAGTTATCTGGCGTGGGATACGGGGGGCCGGGAGGAGCTGGACTGTATACGGAAACCTAGCTAGGGTTTTGGTGGAGCAGTGGGGGAGAGGAACCAGGGGTTAGGGTTTGGAAGAAAGTACAAATAAAAGCTATTGTTTCTCTGTGTCTTCATCATTTTTACTTCTACAATAATGTAGAAATAATTTCTTGGGTTTGAGTTTTCATTCAAACAGTACGATGGACCAACCGATATATGATTTTCTTTATTTTTTTTTTCTGATTATATTTTTCTTGTGATAAATATAAAACTCATATGATCAACTTAATCAAGAGATCCGGAGAAGGATACGTCTACTTCATTCATGTGTAGCGTATGAATATAATGTCTTAGGGTAGAGCTCGCAATGTCATGTCAAAGGTGCAGCATGTATGTGGATCAGCAGAATAGGTAAGCGCATAGCAAATTCCTTGATATTTTATATACTAATATGATATACATTAGTATTAGCTATGGGTGTAAAAAAGACAAATCAGATTAAAAAAAAAAAGAGAAATGAAGTTAACACATAATAACTAGTTTATCAAAAAGTTAATATTTTTACAGTATTTTATAGCAACGATTTTAAAACTGCTATAATAGATAATGAATTTAATTATCTCTGACATGAAGTAATTCATTTAGTATTTTTTCTTTAATTTTTTTCTTATTCAAAACAAATGATCGAGTAGGGTTCGAGTCATTTCATGAGTTGCCAGTGGATCAAGTTCGGGTCGTTTTTTTACACATTTATGAAATGACAAAATTTTAAAAGTTATATTAGTTGAAGTTTAATAAGGAGAAAGAGCGCGTTGGTGAAGAAATTAGCGCACACAACCCAGTCATTAGTTTTTCTTATCGACTTGTTTGCCACTTGTCGTCCACCTCCACCATGGCATCACAGCTAGTCGGTAGGGTTGAGCTGGTCAGGCGATCTGGTCGGGAGATAGAGGTGGCTCGGTGGGTCTCGGTCTGGAGGAGAAAACTTGGGAACACCTCATTGAAGCAGTTGAAATTGCAAGTGTTGATAGTCCTTGGACATGATGCATCATTTTGTAAAGTAAACTTGATTTATCGCCTCCCCATAGTCAATGGCGTAATTGTATCACCTCTTATTTATAATGAGATGTGCTCTATTATTCTACGCTATGCTAATACGTAACTTGTGGTAATTTAAGTTGAAATTGGGAGTTCTGGCAATGCCCCGTCGAATATGAGTTACTAACAACCACTCTAGTGGAGCAATGTAATTTATTCAGAAATAATGAAATGCAGATTTGTAGTCCAATGGTGCCTGCATATGATCTTCCTAGTACCCTGTAAATTTGACCTTATTAGCCTATTATTACTCATTTATAACTTTGATCATAGTGGCTTAGTGTAATAGTTTTATTATGATTGAACTACTATTTGGTCTCTCAGTGGACACATTGTTTCTTGGGCTGTTGGACTCTCGTTGTAAATTTGACCTTATTAACCCAATAATGAGCCCCGAGCAGAAGATTTGTTAGAGAATCTTAATTTAGTTAATGAAGGGTATACGTATGAAAGTATGAGCAGTGAGTCAACTGATGAGTCATCAATTTTGGGTGAAAGAAATGAAGAAGAGTTTCTCGAGATGCAGACTTTACTGCAATAGTTACGTGGAGCAACTGCTGACACTATAAATGTAATTGTTAGCATAAATGAACTTGCGAGGACATGTCATAATGTTGAGGAATGGGACAACAATCTTGACTTTGATGGCGTTATAGATAGTGACATTGTTATGCATGAACAATATATTTCTGAGGAAATTATTGATGGCATGTGTTTTGCTACACATAGAGTTGCAATTTGCCCTTTGTCCATAGACATGATGCATATTTGGATGTCTCAGTACCATTAATTTATTAAAAAAGAGTAGAATGACACGTTTCAGACAGGATGATTCACCAATTCGGATACTTTCCCAAAATGGACGTATTAATGCCAATGGAACCTACTTTTATCAGGGTGGATGGGCGAGGAAAAGCAGATGTGGATTGGTTGCTCTATCATCAGTGATATGTCACTATGTTGGAGGGTAGAAGGGAATTAGTGGTGCATGGAAAAAATGGAGTTGATGCAGGGGATCGTGCGTTAAATCGATACATGAATTGACATGCTTCATCGGCTAAATTATACTTGTTGAATGCGTCCGGCCATGCACCTGATACTTACTATGCAAGGGCTCAAGTAGAACGACTTATCGTAAACATCAACCCTTCCTCATCAATTAAAAATTATCTAATCATTACATAGTATAGGATATTACTTACTCTATATTATAGCGGGAGCATATCTTGGAGACTGAAGGGATATTTCAACCTCTTTTTTTTATATAAAGATTCTAATTCTGACATGCAAAGAGATATAAACAAATATGAAAGTTCTACAATGAACATCAGAGCCAACTATATATTACATATACTTGATAACGTGGCCACATGTTTAGAAAATTCAAATATATAGCAATCCCTTAGACTTTTGCGTGGGACCATCTTCATTTGCGGATCCTAGACCATTGCAATAATTTAGTAGTCCCCCCAAAGAGAATTTGGGTATCAAGGCTGAGTAACTGCAATGGCCAACCACTAAGATTCATTGGTCCATCAGATGCAGGTAATTCATCACAGCAGTGTACCCCCAATATCTACTCAGTTGTTCACTCTGGTATATATCCCACCATCTATGCATCTTAGTGTCCACCTCAGTGATGACCATAGTAGCGATCACGTCAAAGAATATCATGAACTTCGTCATAGTCCACTTTGTTGTTCGGTTCACTATACCCCATGCACATATGTGTTGCCCCGTATATATCGAAAGAAGCGATAGGTTCATCCTTTATGAGTTGTTTTGTATTATATACTATATTGACCTTTTTTGTTTGTTAAGCTTAACATTGCTAGGAACTCCCATGTTTTCATTACTGTCTATATATTTGGATATTAATTTATTTAATTTTATGATTAAAGTTTTTCAAACAAAATTTATGTTGGCAAAAAATTGTATAAAAATATAAATCAAAAATTGAAAATTTTCCTAATTTAGTGGCTATTTAATTTAGGAGCACAAATTTCTTTTTTTCCAATTAAATTGATCACCGAACCGCTTTTAAAATTGTCTTTTTATTAAATGAGCTTGCTTCCGTAGGTCAATTGTAGATCAATCGGATCCCAATCCGACCACTTAAGTTGCATTGAACAGTGTCCTCCATACTTCAAGCTTAATATTCTATATTTCTCACAGTAATTTAACTCCCCTGCGTCTGCGATATCCGTACATCTCCTACTATTTATAATTATTAAAATACCTAAAAATTACATATATTTAAATTAATAATTTAAAATACTTCTGAGTTCTGCCTTAATGGTAATTATTTCCATTTGATTTTCAAAGCTATTTTATGATTTCTTTTCTGGGATAAAATAAATGATTACTGTACGGAACAAATCTAAGCACACGCACGCGTGCAGTCTTAATTAATATTGTCATCATTTATATATTGTTGGAAGCTGAAGTTAAAAAATCATAATTAGCCGTGTCTGTCAATTATCAAAATCGAATATCTTCGCCAGACCTTTCACCTATTGATTTTGTGGATTAATTATTTTGTGCGGACGTTCAATATGTTTCATAGATTAATTAGAATATGTCATATTATTTTTTGTAATCGTTATCGTAGCTCGGTATTACGCCTTGGTACTGCTCACGTGGTGCATTATGATTGGTCTCTGGAGACATTCTGCGTTCGGTCTCTGCACAAAATATATTTTTTTGATTTTGTGAGGTGAGGGAATGAACCTATAAAAAACTATTACTCGCTATTTAAAAAAAAAATCCAATTTTCAATGATAAAATTCATTAAAAAATACATAATATTCATTGTATATTCAATTAAATTTTTGACAGTTTTTTTAACATTGGTAAAACCGTAAAAGCCCCTTTATAAATACAATCCATCAAATAAAAGATATGCTAAACCCTAGCGTTGAAGTATTTTTTCCTCATTTTTTCGTGTTTAACTTGAAGGATTATGTTCTTTACGGTGGTTAATTAATGTGTGTTTCTTTGTCATTATGTATGAGAATGATATAAAGAGTGAATAGAGGAAAATTTATTACGTGCAGAACCCGAGCGTGTCCGGAGGCAATTCCTTATGTAATAATAAGGATTGGCCTCCTGACACATCTGATGTCCGCACGTAATAATGTCTTTGAATAGAGACAATGAGAGAGTGAGGGTGAAAGATATTCGTATAATTTCTCTAAATTTTTACAATAAATTTCTTAATGTAATATAGATCCTTGATTTCTCTCAATTTTTAGTTTTTCCACGTTGAATTATGGGGCTATATTTTCTATTTCTTATTTATTTTAGTGATGCGGTGTTTATTCCCAACAAAATATCAATTTTTTCATATTTTATTATTTATTCTTTAGCTGATAATAAATACAGTTGATTTTTGTATTTAGAGTATGAGCATTTAAACTTCTCATCAAAACTAAAAATATATTTTTGAAAAGTCGCATGCACTAAATAATATAATTCTTGAAGAAATTCATTATTTACATTTTTGTTCGGATAATGAGCTATATATATATATATATATATATATATATATATATATATCTCTGATAGTTGACAAGTGCTATTCTTTTTTGCATTTATTTAATCTTTAAATGTACTATCACATTTAGAACATTATGTATGAACGATTAAGTCATCTATTTTAATTATCTTATAACCTATTGTTATTTGAAAAATATACATAATTATCCAAATACACTATATATTTCAAT